GAGAATAAACTTTGGCACAGTTGATATCACGTTGGCGATTAGGATCACGTCATACCATACCAAAGTGGCGCCAGTTGTGATTCCTCTCGTGTATGCGTTTATTTTCATAAATGCATTTTCATAGAACATCGGTTCTTCAAGTGTTTCATACGGATCCCAGGGCTCTCCGAGAGAAACCCAGGCGAGCTATTTTTTTACCCATCTTTCCTCCAGCTATTTGTCTGCCTATTAGAATACTAACTTGGCTAATTTAGTAACTGTTCAAAAAAATAATAAGGACATCAATAAAATTTGACAACGGCAACGTCAAAATGTGGCAACGAGGCAGTGATTCAAATATGGCATTATGTATAAGTTCCAATAGTTAATTATTTTTTATAAATTTATTGTCGAGCTCAGTGAATATTAGCCAAACTCTTCACCGAATCCATAAAACTAACAGTTTGAGAACCCCTGTCATATACTTCAGTTCCTAACCCTAACTAAAATCACTGAGCTCACAACTCCAAAGTGCCACACAATTGTTAGCATGAACTTCAGACCAAACCCTTGAATGTGTATTGGCGGAAGTTTATTTCCTGACAAAGGAAGATGCATTTCCTGTCTTTACCTGATTTGTGTAATAGGCAAAAATCATTAAAATAGCATCGTATTTTGCTACTACTTGATACAATGATCGATTCGTTTGATTGGATGAAATCTGAGTGAGATATTTGAAGGATTCGCTTATGAAACTAACTATACTCCAATAAATACTTTGTGCAGTTGGATAAATTACATACTTTTTATTCTTTGCTTTTTACCAACGAGTCTACTTCGACATGTCTATAACGCTTACTTCTCGCCACTAACCCGAATACCAAGTAAATGTGAGTAAATTAGGGCCCGCGGGCCGGATTCAGACCACCAAAGGGTTTCATCCGGCTTACTTGTGCCTGTAGAAATTACGACTATAGTTTTTATGGGTATAAATTTGCGTTGAAAATAACGAATTGTGGGCTAAAATATAGACAGTAATTCCCCATGTATTATCTATACCTGAATATAATTCGCCACTTGGTACGCTAGCTGTCTGTTGTACATTAACTGTTACGCTAGTCATTTGTAAATGAACTGTTTTTATTCATAGTTTCATATTAAGTTTTGAGCACCCAGTCCATAAATCAAGTCTAATATCTGTAACTGGCCCACTCAGAAAGGTAATTTCCCACCTTAGAGGAAGGCTGAACTCCTTGGCAGTAGGGTTGTTTGCGCAAAGGCTTCCTTCATAGTATCCAATCACAAACATACCGCAAAAGTATGAGGTAAGCCAATATCCTCAATCCGAAGGGCAACCGACCGAGCGCCCGTGGCTCGTTATATTCGTTTTCTTTCCGCCCACCGATACAAATATTAATATGAAAATACTGCTGAATTATATATTATATTGTATTCAAACTTTTTTTGCAAATTTTCTTGAAAAAAAAAAATCAAAATACACTCAGGCTACGAAAAACTAAGCGACTAACTGTTTGCACATGCTTGCTTAGACAGAGTTTCCCATAGCAATTGTAGAGAACACCCTATAAATATAAAACTCCAAATAGCCAATGCAACTTATCTGATTTTACAGAAAACAGAAAAACATAATCACACCATTTTCGCAAGTACTTCTAAGCTACCACATTCATAATCATAACGCTCTTCGAGATGCAAATACATAATTATAGAACCAAAATATCGCCTAAACTTATCTGTATGTGATTATATATAAAACAGCAACATATAGCCTCACCATTTTATCGAGTATTACTATGCACGATACAATTTCTCGTGAGGTTTCAAAGACACTTTACATATGCTTGCTTGCACTTTACATAGTTTCTGAGACCAAATTCACAAAAAGCCGTGGTATTGAACAACTAACACCTAAAACTTCTAACATCCTAGCAAACTTATCCGCGTGTAATGTTACACCAAACAGCAGCGTATAGCCGCACCTTTTCCTCGAGTAATACTGATTATTATATATAGAGCGCCCTTGGAGATGCAAACACATAATAATAGAACGAAACTAGCTCCTAAACTTATTTGTATTAGATCATATGAGGCGACCCTGAAGTTTTAAATTTTTTTCAAAATTGCAAAGGAATTTATCGGTGCTATATATTGTTTGGGCCCTCACGGATGTATTAAAATGAGGTAAAAAACAACAAACCTGGTTAAAATATATTGAGAAACTGACTTTACCCTGTATGCCTGTAAAACAGCAACGATTAGCCGATAATACTAACCAATTCTTGAATAATACTAGCTTAATACATTCATATCGCTCTTCACAAATTTAGTCACAATGCAATTCCATAGAAACAAAACGAAACCATATCGCTAAACCTCTATAAACGCTCTTCAACCAAACCAGCTGCTTCCTTTTGTGGCTTCCGAGAATTCTAAAAATCTTGTAAAAGAAAACGAAATTTCATGTAACTCAATAGATATACTTTATCAAGCTTGCCTGTGGGAGTTCTGCATTTTTACTGTTTGAGTCGAAAGTGGCAAAGTTTGTCTATAGGGAATGTAATACATTAAAGGACTAAACTCAATCTCTCTATATTCATAATATAAAACAACTGTATGCTACTGTATATTAACACTCTATATCGGTTTATTTTACTACTATTTGTATTTATCAGCCTCAGCATTATGATTTCCTGCTAATGTGCTGAGATGCGCGTGCACACAATTGAGTCACTCATATCAGGAAATCACGTGACTTATCGCATGAGTGGGTATAATACATGTGATTGAAGATTTTCTTACTGCCTATAACGACTTGGGATTTACATATTTATCCTGAGAGAGAGAGGAAAGTCGAAAAGACGGCTTAATCATATGACGAACCACGGCTTCTCGTCTGGTTACCAGTTCATGTCGGGTGTGGAATCAGTTTGCCAGTTATTTGTTTTAGGAAGCAAAGACGTGATGGCGAGGGAAGCTGTAGCCGACCAGCGGTTACATGAACCACCCTACGTCGGCGCGGAGTCCAGTAATTATCTTGCACATAACTATCCCCACATGGGATTTGAACCTGCGAACCCACGCAGGGTAATCAGAGGTGCGTTGGCAAGCGTATTCCTAACGCTTAGCACAATGTGCCCACATTGCCGAGGCGACTTGTGTCAAAAACTCTATTAAATGATGTTTTGTTATTCCGTGCAAACAAATTTTGATGCCAACAGCGCGATTTTAAACTATTGAGGGCATTTTATTTGCTTGGGGATAACTTGCTTGATGTGCTACTTTAAAATTAGTTTTGCTTATTCACACTGGGCTGAGGATTCGGCAAGGTCACGTCGTAATAAAGTTGTCTTGAAAATTAAAATTTACTGAAACATATTTTTAAAATTAAAAATAGGTTTTTAAATTGAGTGTCGCTGAAATATACACCCCTTGAGTGGGTGAAGCAATTCGCGGTCTGAAATTTGCGATTGCCAAGTTATATCGTGACAGCTAGCGCGTCCGACAGTAGACCGGAAAACGTAGATTTTTGAGAGTCTTGAGGGTCTAAAGAGCGTTTATAGATACGAAGCCGATTCCCCCTCTTGTTACTTATTGATTATAATCGGTAAGTATGTTGATAGATATTTGTCTGTCTGTCTGCCTGTATGTATGTCTGTCTGTTAGATGCACGCGATATCTCACGAAAGCAAGATTGATTCTGCTCCAGATTTTGCATGTGCATTCATCATATGTCGGACCAGAAGCCTATTGATTTTGAATGAATTATGTCGTATAATTAGCGAGTTATTAATTAATTAGTGGTAGGACACAAGGTGTCACTATGGAGTAAGAGCGCTGTTTTGGGGGATCCCCAAACTTTCGATCGATAAGTCTTCGGTCTCTAATCGATATTCTCGTTTATGCCTTTGTGCAAACCCTTGTTTGAAATATATACCGTGTTATGCTACATTGTATATGTTGATCTACCCATGCTAAAATCATGCCCACTGGTGTGATTAATTGTCATTAACACTAACCGGTTCAGGCAAATTTTATATATTTTGACTCACTCTGGCACTAGTAGGGCTGGGCATTTCAAATCAAATAATAAATTATTCAAATCGGTTTAAAAGGAAATTTGGAATCGCAGCCGTCTTGACTTGTATTTGGCGCACAAAGGCCGAGGTTGATTTCTCACGTATTGATGAAACATATTTCTTTATGTGTGTGAACGCTAAGAAAACCGTCTAGACTAAGTGATGGATTCTACATTTTCAGTAATATATGTGTTTTGAAGACCCATCACAAAAAAGGCACATACATTTGAATATCTAACAAATATTCGAGATTCGATTCGATTTGAAAGAAATATTCTATTCTACTTTGCAATCATCAGGTATTCGAAATTCGCCAATAGCACTAGTTCAACTTTCGACGCATGACTGAACCATAAAGAAAAGTTAACATAATGACTCACAGTACAAGTAAGAATCTGAGTCACCTTGCAAGCCATTACAGTTAGTATGTCTATAATTTAACTTAATTTATCAAGCAAACGCGAATTCCTACCTCAATTTGCACGAATAAACGTAAGTTACTCGCTTTTTAACCAAATGTTTCTTTTGCGCGAGAGGCCAAAGCCTAACAACCCAAGGGATGGGCAAAGTTTATTTAGCAAAGGCTTTATTCGGGATTTGTTTTCGCAAAGTGTATCAGTATAAAAAAATGGTTGAATTTACCTAATTCCATATCGTGTAGTTAGTTACCTTTAGTTAAATTGAATCTGTAAAAGATCCGAAAATAAAGTTTTTTTAAGAAAGAGTAGGGAAAGATGACGGGTAAAAAATAGAGAGTTTAGAGATTTTAAATAAAGTTAAACGACAAATCTGAAGTCTGTATTTAGTTACAAAATTTTTTTAACAACTTTCTCAAAGAGCAAGAGAGGGGCAAAATTCTTTGGCGACCCGCGGGCAGTGTTTTGGCCCGTCCCTAACGTAACCTGTTGTAAATACAAAAACACATTTCAACCGTTTTATTTATTTACAATTAATTCACGCGCACACATATTGATTATTTCACACAATGATAAGGTATTGATAATTGCTTACAACCTATTGCTCATAATCGACATCGCGTCATTACTAATGACATCATAATTAGACAATTAATCATGTCACAATTTTGAATTGCTCTGAACGACAGAAAAATGAAACTTGGAAAATATAAAAAAGCCTTCCAGTTTTCAGCGTAATTTGTACGAGAAAACTGTAAATTTAACTCGCATCCTCTAGTAAATTGGACACAATAAATGACTCATATTCCTGACTAAGGATGTAAAAAATCATCCAAAGATGTTAAATTTGCATGTTTTACTCTATATTTTAAAACCCTATTAGTCTGAGTAAAACTTTAATATAAAATCATTTGAATAAACTCTTCGAATAAAAAAATATCTTTAATTTAATTATTGAAATTTACCGAATTATCCCTTGGATTTTGAAAATTTACGACAGATTTATTAGGTTCTAAGAAATCTAAAATTTTCGTTAAAAGAAATTGGAAAAGTCACAGAAATGGAACGTTTGGCAAAAAATAAAAAAAGCTACATTTAAAATAAAATAGCAAAAAATAAAAAGTGTATGAAAGCATACAAAGAATATAGTTTCCTATACTATATAGATCAAAAATTACCACGACTGTCCGATTAAACATCAGCAAATATACCCAAGATTCTGTAAGGCACATTTAGAGTACTAGTTGAAGCATTATAAAAGTAGTTTGTTTGATAAATATTTAAAATATTTATTACATCCTAGAACTGTTAGGAATAGGCAATATGAATTATTTTCAGTGTCAAAGATTTATTATGAAAACAGATTTGCTATCTGCTAGGATTGGCCTTGTGTTCCAGGCATCGGTATCAGTATAGACAGATAGAAAATTGACGTTCAAGTCGAGATTTTTTAAAATCAAAGTCTAATATATCGTACAAATATATGTCAATTATTAGTGAATTTTATATTTGTACAAATTCCACACGGCAGTTTTTCTGCATCGCCCATTTTTAAAATAAGCAAAATACCTATATATTTCTGCAAAATTTAACGAGCATTTACATGTCATGAAGGCAAAAAGCATAAAGAATTCTGTTCAATTGATTAATTTTTATCGTGATAAAATAAAAGGGTAAATTTTTTTGGAATTGACTAATTAAGGGCCATAGGATAAATATCATATCCGGAAATTTTAAAGTACACCGATTAATTCCGATGATGTATAAATTCTTAATAAAGCGAAGGCATAATTGGGAATGACTAAGGAATAAGCACAAGCGAAATGTTTCACAAAAACTGTTTGAAAATTTTAGATTATTGTTAAGTACAATATATAATTTCCACAGAGTCATCGTGTTAAATTGGAAGTTTTTTAGAACAGCTAAATCACATAATACAACACAACAAATTTTTGAAATATATAATATCGGTGGAAGCTCTCTACAATAAACTTGAAATATGCAAAAATTATCCATTTTTAAAAAGTATCAAATAATATAATACAACATATGAAATTTTCTGAAACTAAATTATCGGAATTGGGAGATCCTTAAAATAAACCTGAAATATGCGAAAATTATCGCTTAAATCAAGGCAACTATTGGCACACTAGATATTATGACCCACTGTTATCTAGAATATAATATATAAAATGTTTAATAAGAGGCTATTCATTTGATAATTTTATCTATATATTGATTGACCTATCAGTCGATTAAGAATTCGTTAAATTCAGTTGGAATATAATGAAAGAGCCGTAGTCAGGAATTCCCAAGAGGGGAGGGGAGGGGGGGAGTTTCTAAAGTTAAACCACTAGTTACATTTCAAAAGAGACTCCGACTCTCGACACCAATCCCCTTGGCTACGCCCCTTTATAATGATAACATTAACAATGTTCCTGGAATTATTTAACAGAGAAGTTCAGATTATAGTTTCATTAGTTCATAAATGTTCATAAACTAAGAAATTTGATAATTATATTTTGAAAATAATAAATAACCCACAATAACCCGTATTTGGTCATATCTTCATAAAATAAACGAATATGCCTGTACTGGTTACGTACAAGATCAATTGCAGTAGTACCGCTAAAAATTTATATGAAGCAAAATCATAAAGAGCGAATAAAAATAATCAAAATAAAACAAAATGATATGCCGTCACCAATGTAATGACTTAATCAATATGATAACGTCATGTACATAGCAAAGTTAAAAGTACGATACTAAAAATTAGAGAGAAATTAATAAAACATTGAAACAAAAAGCTAATATGCAGAATAGATCTGACAGCGTAATTTGTCTTTCATAGTAAACTGATGATAATAATTGTACAGTGATATTTTGGCGCTTCTTTTCAGAGTAATAAAATATGTAATAAAAATTTGGTGTGAATCAGATTTTCCTGAATGAAATGAATGTGACAAAGTTGCGCTTCATTAGCCTATTGTAGATATTTCTAAATATTGACTATATTTGATATTGCTTTTATTGTTTTACATCTTTATTCCCTAAAAAGTTAAAGATAGAGAATTTCGAAACGTGGAATTAAATTTCCCAAATTATGAGAAAAATAGATGTTTCTGATACCTACCGTACCTTTATTTCACGTTTAATATATGTTTATTCTCTACGAAATTTTGAAAGCTGAAGATTCCAAAATTTGGCAAAAAAATATCACAGATAATGAGACAAAAATTGTATTTGCTATTTACAAAGCAAAAAATATAATAATCAATGTCTTCACAATCTATTACGATTAGAATCACACAAGCACCGCATGTATTAAAAAACCATCTCAACCATTCACATATCTATGACTATAGACTGTGCCAATTTTAGAATACTCAAGTCGTTTAAGAAATGAACTATAGCTGTTAATTTTGTTCAACTTCCAAAGATTTATTTATATGTATAAAAATAAATTTTAGGCAACGTCTTAAACTTCGCTTTTCTCATTGCAAAGTTGGTCGTTCGCGAGAGAGATTTTTCGCAAAAGCTATAACCAGTCTACAAGATGAGCATGTTGGTCTAATAGTGTTAATGACCGATCCCACCGCATTTACACAAAATATTCTAAGCGAACGAGATTGCACTCAAATATTTGCTTGAAAATCGATACACTCAGATCTTTCATTTTGAGCTTGGAACTTGGAATATGGGCTACCATATCAATCGATGTTACCCTGGGTATGGCTGAAGGTGATTACAAATATTTTAAAAGCCAATATAGACAAAATAATCGACAACATCACTAAAATAATTCAATTCAAAAAATTATAATTATGCACACCAAAGCTACTTTTCACACAATGTACAAATGGAACATTTTTTACTGGCATAAATATTAGTTATTGAAACAACAGTTTTCATCTCAAAATTGGCAAAACTGCGCAAAGTACTTTTTTAATCAATCTATCTGGAGCGACATATCTCATTTATTGATAAATCTGTACTTATTAGGGGACAAGAAACGAAATAAGATAATATTGCGAATCAATGAACATTCAAATAAACCTGTACTATTGTTAATTATATATGAAAAAGTTCGATTTATTGTTACTGAAGTACATGTATAGCAAAGGCTTAGTTAGAAAGATTGTCCAAAAAAGGCTGTTTTATCACATAACTACTAAATGCCAGTAAATAAGTAACATTTTTCAACTTTATCCATTTTTTGGACATTCAATTAATAGGAGGAATAACCTTCGCCATGTGACGCATTGCCGTTGTATAAGCCGTTGACGTGAGGAACAAAACCATTGCTAAAGTGCTGACCTTCGCCGCCATATTGGGAATGCAAACCATTGGTTGAAATAACAGGGGGAGGGCTGCTATAAAACATAGTAGGTATATCAATTTGATTGCTAGAGTCTCCATTTCTTGCAGAAACAGGAATCTCCTGACGATTGATCATTTGAAGTACATACTCAGCAGCAATCTCTTTTGCCATCTCAAGGGAGGTAGACAATTTGGTAGGGGTGAACTGCCTGGGGCTGGATAGCTGGCGCTGCTGCTGCAAGGGTTGGTTGAGGCTGCTGATTGGTGGCGTATGCTGACCCTGCTGCTGCGACAATTGGCTGTTGGACAAGCCCGGTATTGACACCTGTGAAATATAATTGGACACGTTTAGTGGCCATAACGATCGTTTCAAAATTTTGTTGTTAATGTTATTTTCTTTCGTCATTATCATTAAAAAATCGCTTTTCTCTTCGAATACTGGACCAATTGCTTTGGAATTTTCAGTGGTTCAAGATTGATTTTTTTGCCAGAAGGCTATCACTTTCATTTATTCCTGAATTTTCTATGAATCTTATGAGATCTAATATTTCATCCAAAATAGCGCTGTATTAATTTTTAATTATGGGAACACGGTTTTTAATCAGCCAAGTGTGACGGCTGACTGTGAAAATTCTTGCGACTGAAAACCCGGAACTTTTTGAGGGTACGGTACCGGTAACGTCAAAAGTAAACCCTGCTTCGCTCTAGTCCATGTGTCCATATATTTGAGCGTTGCTCTCTTGTTTATGATCAGGTACTTTGTATTTTCAGTTAATTGGTTCATTGACTTTCATGGTATTGTTTAAATTTGACTCTAAGTAAAGAATTAACGTTGGAGAAACAAACTGTAGAGGTAGACGATTAAATCTCCATACATTCACATTTATAACAGTTTAATACCACTAATTAATTAATTAAGACACATTCTCTCAGCTAGGCGTAACACCGGTTCGATGATCGTGGGGATTTTTAATGCATACGCGTGGTTGACTATTTGGAAAGAAAATCTTTTTGTTGGCATAATCCCATTACACCCTATATGTTGATAGTGGGTTGGGTTGAACTGTGAGATTGTTTACCACGGCGTGGACTTTTGGTGATAGTATAGAAAAATTCTCGAACGCCTTCGGCCCAAACGAAAGAGTTTGAATGTATAATATAAAGCAGAGTTAAATGCCATAACCCCGTGCGTCTTAGAACTGAGCGAATAAGTAAAATTTGTATTACAAAACATACCCGGTAAATATAAAGTTGTTGGCCATTCGGTTGTTGGCCATCTACCGAGTGCAGTTTGTAATCCGGGATCCCCAAATGCTTCTTCTTGCACAATTCCTCCAACAACTGAAATAATAGGAAAATATATCAAATGTTGAAAATCAAAATATGCCAGTAAATATCGCTTGGTATTCATTTGTTTTAAATTGTTCATGCGACTCTTATCGCGCCGGTACACTCAAAAAGGGCCCCTACAATTGCCCGCTAATACCTAACAATGAAAAGCTACTCTAGTTTTTTGGGAGTGGGGGAAGGGGGTTAATATACAAGGGATTGTAAGAACAGCAAAGCCAAAGCTTGGAACGTTGGAAAAGCATGTAGTGAATTCCGTGGCAGCAAAATTACCTATTATATCTCCATATGTTTAAGCGGAATTGAGACACATGCCAACATTCCCTCCAAGAGCTTGCTTAGTTGCGCAGAATATAAGGCCATGTGAGCTCCAAAAAAGGTCTGCGCGGAAGGTTAGAAAAAATAGAAAAGAACACAACATTTTAAACAAACACAGAATTGTCAAGACTTATGCAGTGCGCGGCAAAACGAAAGTACTGCGCGGGGATTCTCGGCCATTTGCGCGTGCGCACAGCTGCGCACATTAGAGGGAACTTAGGACACAACCATTTAGTATTGGATACGGCGATCCGCAACTATGTACTAACTAGAGCATTTAGTGTTCGAGGGTATTATGAAAATAAATTATAAATTTTATGAATTTTATTCCAATACAAATAACGAGATCCATGAACCTTATTCCTCAGCTAGAAACCTTTTAGAATTTGTCAAGTCTAGTCAGAATTTTATATATTCTCAAAATTCAAGTTTTAACATAAATATATATATTTGGAATTGTGGTCAAGTTTCAATTGTATTGTCGGGCTTGAGATAGATTGTCTCAGAATTGAGTTCAATGATTCTAATTAATTTAAGAACCACAGCCGTCACAAGCAAGTATCCGCCCCAATCTTGAGTAAAATAATTTTACTGTTTTACCGCATCTTCTTATTAATTTTATCGTTTCCGTTTTTAATTAAAGAATTTATCACACAACCAAGCAATCTGCTCGTTATTATTACTTCGAAACGGGCAGTTAAAAGGAAGCCTATGGAAAAGTAATTCAATCCGTTGTGTAATTCAATCTGGCCCGCATGATGCTACCACAACCAAACAAAACTAAAAATTTAATGAGTTTGCGACTAAATTCAGTTTTGGCACAAGGATTATTGGTTTCCAAATTTGCGTTAGTAACACTATAATAAAATTTTGTTCATAAAATGTAGCTTTTCACGTCACACTTAAGCTTACATGGCTCGCCAGTCTAGGCAAGCTAAAATTTTGGCCCTTGGTTTAAAAACATAGACCGCCACTGCTGTAGAACTTACCTGAACTGACGACTTCCGTTGCTGGTTGTTGTGCTTGATGGACTGGGGACTGATAGGGATGAGCTCCATATCGGGCAGTAAGTCGTATTTCACGTCCCGCCCCACTGACTCCGAGACTCCCTGAAATAAAAACAAAAAATCAAATTTTCGATGAGATTTCGTACAAAAGAATATTTAAAAAACAAGAGAGCTATGGTCAAATATATGGACACGTAGCGCCACATAATTTTGATGACGTCATAGCAAAAAAATAAAAGTAATAGCCTTCTGGAGAAAAATTCCATCCTTAACCTTGGTCCAGTAATCAAAGAGAAAAGCGATTTCTTTAAAACGTGTCAATGAACAAGAACAACCTAACAACAAAACGATTCGGTTCACCTGGGGGAGACAAGTAAACAAACGTTGGGACTGGCAAGCAGAATATTAGCAATTATCACGGAATGCTTTATGTAGTGTCCGCGGCATTTAGATGACCATTTCAACTGGTATTTCTTTGAGACGTAGGACGACACCATATTCCTTTGCGACGTAGGAGCTTTTGTCGACGTTTATTTTTATTTGAATGTCGACGTTTAGTTTTTATTCTATTTCATGCACCATTAAACTCCGGGAACGCAGAGCTTAAATCAATAAAACTTTTCTTAATACTTATCTCAATTACCTGCGGTGGAGGGGGATGCCACAGAGGTTGTCTTCGGTAGTACATCATCCCGTATCTGAGGAAAACAATTATTCGTCTATATTATGTGAAGAAGCGCTATGATTTATATCTAGACTGGAATTTAAAATAATGAAGCTGTATTGGAACTGCTAGCATATTTTGTCCAAGTCTTACTTTTAGGTGGCTTCTCCTGTAGGTCTATATGATCCAAAAAGAATCTTGATAGGGAGTGAGGAGAACGCTACTTCTGTACTATAACAGTAAATCGCCTTGCGCCAAACATTAAATACGTCGTTGGGATAATTTGGTTTTCATTATACTTCTTTATAATTTCATGTATGCTGCTTTATAAATATATGACTTTTTGAGCAACCAATCAAAAATTCACGACACTCTCCAAGCAGGCATTTACATTTTTATTGTGATATAACAAAATTTCTTAAAATGCAAAATTTCAAATTGTGTCTATCGACCTCGAAAGTGCAAGATATTCCAAGAATAATATGTAACTCGAAACCAAACAAGAAGCCAGCCGAAGTCAAATTACTCCTAAATTTCACTTTTTTCTCTCAATTTGAAAATTAAAAATTCCAAGTACTCATTGAGGCTAAAGTTACAACCAATAACTCAAAGTCTATTCCCTTGCATTCCAAATAAAAAAACATAAAAGCTAAACTATACAGGAAATATACATAGGCTACTACTACATTTATTGTGTCTTAGATTACGTCAGCCAAAGCCTTAATAAATTATGAATTACCCAGAACAGGGAATTACCCGTGGGGAATTACCCGTTTTAAATTACCCCTGTGTTGGTGGAAGCAAATGGCGTAATTACCAGTATGAGTTAACAAAATAACGTAAAAGCGTAATTATAACGTAATAACGTAATAATTTGCAATTTAAACGTCGAATTAAAAGTAATATTAACATTATAATTAGGTAGAAACGAAAAATTGATGTTTTTTATTAGAACGACACAAAACAACACGATAAAATATCGATACCTTTGTATATAAGTTGACCCCTTATGACGTCACAATACTTCCATATATAAATGTCATCTGCTGAGTGCATATTTGTATTATTGTGATCTTTCATAGATTAAAATAAAAGCTTTGCAAACCAAATTTTTATCGAGTTTTAAAAAAGTTTGGGTAAGGACAGATTTTTGCTTCTATATTAAAATTTTATATTTTAAACGCGAATTAAATTGAAAAAATGGGTAACTAGCAAACGAATTATGTTATTCGTATATATAGCTTTTTAAGTTGAATAGAATGTTTGACAAATTATTTGAATCCAAATTATATAATGTTCTTATAAAACGCTGAATGAGCAAAATTGAACACCCAATTGACATATGTGGGAATGAAAATTTGGAGGGAAATAAAAAAAATGCAATTATGAGGCCAAATACGTTTCTAACCAGTAGGCTATCTCTCTATGCGTAAGTCATGCAGATGCGTCTGAACTTTGGAATTGTATGTTATGCGGCGTATTAATAGATTACGGTAATACATGGACATGCGATAGAAATCGGTACGGTGAAAAGCTTCGCTTAATAATGGAATTTTGATTATGGATTAAGTGTTCTCGGCGCTACGGATTAGTCTTTTTATTCGTTTATAATTTATTGTTAGCATAGTAATTGTTCTTAACGTTTGGTTATTAGCACTACCCAGTCAGATTTGTAAATTAAACATCTCAACAATCAGAGCAAAATGAACAAATTTTAGACAGAATGATACACCTGGTTGATTTTGGCTATGCTTCAGTTACTTTTGAAAACCAAAACGAAATTCTATTTTTACTGTTTGTATATTAGTATGAACAAACTATCAAGCATTTGGTCTAATAAATGAAAATTCAATTCAAAATTAATGTATAGGTCAGTTCTGTTGACATTTTGTCTGATTGCTGAGAAAAACACAGATAACTAAATATATTTTGAATCATTTGTAATTGTAATGCACATTTAATTGTGCAGATGTATAATACCGAAGAAAACTGGTTGAAGGTGTGTAATGCGTGGTAAGCTAATAAACAGGATCAAACACAGAAAAGCTGACGAAGATGATAAGGATTAAAAGAGATTTGGGGATGAAATTAATAAGGAAGTTGGCAAAGATGATGAAGACGGGGATGATGGCGAATGGGAGAATAAGGGCGTATTGAGGTTGAAAAACGAGAATGCTGAAAAGGAAGAGATGGAGGGGAGAACGATGAAAAAAAATTGAAAAAACTGGGAAAATGGAAGGAATGCAAAAAATGGAGAAAATGATGAAGCTTTAAAGGACAAGAGATGACCAGGCTCAGAAAACGAAAAAATGAAGATAAGGCGGGTGATATAAATGAATGAGGTATATCAATGAGAGAACGATTCTGATAAAAAGGGATGAGGAGGTTGGCAAAAATGAAGAGAATTAGGAAATGGGAAGGATGAGGGAGATGAAAATGAGAATGAGGCTGACGAATTTAATAAAATATAAAGATCTTGCGGAGAATGGAGAGTATGATGACAATTCGAAGAAGCACGAGAAGAATAAAAAGAAGATGGGAAGAGTGAAAGATTAGTGAGGAGAATCATGATTGAGAGGATTAATGTGATGCGGAAGATGATGGAGGTTGAGAGGGTGAAACAGGTGAGGAGATTGAATAGGGTGAGAGAGATAAAATGATGAGGAGAATGCAGAGAATTAGAAAAAGGGGATATGATTAGAATTAAAAGAAAGATCAGGTTTTGTTTTCTTCAGTATTATACGAATGATTTATTGAGATTCGTTGAGTAATTGCACACCTGATGTTGCAAAACATCCCCACCAAGCAATGTCACATCGGGGGAAGAAGTCGCATACCCGCGCCCGAAGTATCCACGTTGCTGCATTGTTCTTGCACCCGCCACTCCTCTTGCACGACCTCTACCGGCGACCCCACGACCCACGCCAACGCCACCAGGAATGCCTGACGTTGCGCCCGGAATTCCAAGCGGTACCCCAGCGGCACCGATTTGTGGCACAGTGCCTATTTGAATCGGACGCCCTGGAATTGTAGTTGGAATACGTTGCGCTACTTGCATCCCTGGCATGCCTGGCGTGGCGCCGTAAGGGTAATATATGGTGCCAGGATATGTTTGATATGCCAGCGAAGCAGCAGTTGCCGGATCTAGAGCTTGAACGTAAGGATAAGCTGCCGCAGGTGTTAACTGCTCTTCGACTTCTGTGAGTGCTTGGCGGTTTGAAGCACGCGTATATCTAAAAAAAAAAGAATAAATGACATTTAGATGGTAGCTTCAATATATTAGTCGTGTATGACTGAACCCATATCTGCCCTTGACCCAAATATGTTGAATTAGTTAGACTTAAAAACTAGAGCTTTTCAATATTAGACAACTTAGTGCTGTGTTATTAAATATTGTCCGGGGAAAATATTCAGACAAATATTAAAAATCTAAATGAATAGTTAATAAACGAAATTGTTAAATGAAAACAAATTGTAGCGGTGGATAGTCCAATGCACCATCAAAAATTACAAACATTTTCACCCTTTTTGTAGTGAATCTAATGCTTGTTATGATTGTATGATGAATACCGAATTTGCCAAAACAATTCAAAAATGCATTGCTCTGTGTGGTGTTTTCACACCATCTCTCTGGACAATCAGCTACTGAGACGTAAGAAGTAGGGCCATATTAGATGCAACGTTACGGATTATTTCAATTTTGTCAACCTCGTATTAATTACCTGACATATGTCTCCCTGTCAACTGGTTTAGCCAACGATATCTCCATTGGCGCTCCGTCAAGCAGGTGCCCTTGTAATGCTCGCATGCTTTTCAATGCGTTTTCACGAGTGTTAAAATGGATGAATGCGTAATCTCGAATCTTCTTCACGCGTTCAATTGCACCTGGTGCCGGGATTACTTCTTTGAAAACCTAGAAATCGAATAATAGTCGATAATAGGTTAGCTTATTATACCTAGTCATATCTGAAAAAAAATGGCTAACTATTCTCATAGATTGGAACCGTGTCGCCGGACGACTAGCCGTGGTTTGCCTAATGATAGAGTCGTCTTATCGGCTTTCTTCTATCCCATAGTAAATATGAAAATCTTATTTTATCTTCATAGATGCCGATTTGGATGGGAGTCAGTTTCAACAAGTATGCTGAGCAAACTAAGTAGTTTTCGATCGGATACTGATAGTCACATCATAGATCCTTGTTCTAGAATCTAGAATCAAGAAACCTCAGTTCCATGTTTCCCAATCGGGAAGAAATTCCCCGTTGTTATGGGGCGGGAGGGGTATTGCTTTGTATTTGTTGTAGTACTAATATTAGTGATATTTATTAAATCCTTATTATTACTTATCGATCTTAAGATCGGTAAGTATATTGATAGGTATTTGTCTGTATGTATGTCTGTCTGTATGTATGTATGTCTGTCTGTATGTATGTCTGTCTGTGTGTCTGTTAGATGCACGCGATATCTCACGAAAGCGAGATTGAATCTGCTCCAGATTTTGCATGTGCATTCATCTTATCTCGGACCAGTAGCCTATTGATTTTGGGCGAATTATGTCGTATAATTAGCGAGTTATCAATCAATTATTGATATAGTGATCTAGATTTTTGTAAAGCGAGAGAATTTTGAAACCCGCCGAGTGTGTGTGTGCGATGCGCAGTGCGCAAGTTACAAGAGCGGATGAATCGAAACTGCAGTTTCTGTTTTGGGGGATCCCCTAACTATCGATCGATAAGTCTTCGGTTTCCAACCGATATTCTCGTTATTCTCCTTTATTTATGTTCGTATTAAAAACAACATGAATCGCACAAAAGCGGTAGTTCGAAATGAACATAAACCTATCCCAGGATTCATTTAAGATTTAACAATTAAAGTAGTTTTTATGCATAGCGAGGGACGCATAAAAAGTCCCAACATAGGTAATGGGACGAATTTAACGAAAAATGTAGGGGACTACTGCCTTAGTGTCTACAAGACTGAAAATGTTAACCCATCAGCAGATCATTCTAGACTCCAAAACTGAGGCAGACTTTCAGAATTCACAATAATGAAAAATGTATTTAAACACGTAGAAACACTTTAATGTGGAACTGGGCAAATCACAAGAGCAAATGTCTAAGTCAGTACAATTCAGGGATAGTGTTTCCTCATGAATGCGGCAAATGAACTATTAAAAATATCAGAGAAAATACCGGTGGAACTTGACGTTTTATGAATAAAATTTGGAATACCCCACCTTTTCCAAAGATTCATCCGTTGTGTTCAGCATCAAATTTCTTATGTACAAAATTTTAACTTGTGCCATGACGTCATCATCGACCTCGACTTCCGGTTCCGCCCAATCTACGGCAATCTGGTGACCCCAAAGTTGAGGACGGTTGTGCATGAGTTTCCTGGAAATAGAAAGTAAAAATAAATTGAAAAATAATTAAACGCTATAAGGTTTAGGAAAAGCATATATAATGTCAAATGGAATAATTGTCTTGAACTAAAAATTCCCCAGTCAAACTATTGACAAAATAATCGTGGAGTAGGGTCCAAATCAGAGTTTAATTGTAACAAACTCTCCGGCTAGAACTATTTTCTATAATTCTAATAACAAGAATAAAAGCTATTGTAAATTTTGCCGTAAGCCGCGCATTTACTTAATCATCAAGATTCAGATAATTTATTTTCGTCGTGCATGAAACATTGTAAACACAAACAATAATAATTCATGTCAACCGAAGCCGCAAAAAGATGCCAACGCAGAATTAGATTGAGCCAAAATCGTGAACAAATCTCACTAAATAGGTATCTATAGCTGATATATGGATTCAGTACTGATAACTAAATAAATTCCATCGTTGAACGCTACAACGCGGTTTTACTTAATCACAAAGAAGCCAACCCAAGTGTGCGGCGTCATAGAAATTCCAGTTCAACACACATAAAACACTTAGTACATGCATATCTAGCTGGTATATGCTTTCGCTCCTTGATAATATAACGAAGTACGTCCTCAGACATAACTTGATAAAATTGTCTCGATCCAGTGGCCAATTCAAAATATTCATATTAAAAATCCTGTCACTAATACACCCTTTTTTTAATTCTACAAGCAAGAATCATGGGCCAATGCAAGCGTCATACGTTATAGGAATTTGCGATTCGCACATAGTCTATTCTTCGGGGAGGATCTTTATATGATAGCCTACTTTAGGTTGATGGGGGGTCTACATATGATACTTTTGGGGTAGAGGCATCTTCATTTGATCCACAATTTCAATCTCTAACCCCGCATGCAGGCCTTAAAAAAGCAACCCACATGAATTCACTTCTGATAAACGTAAGCAAACAAACCTTCTGGCCATTGCAGCAGTGTGATGGTCTTGATACTCAACGAAAGCAAAACCTCTGTTTTTAGCTTTATCGGCAGCTGAGGGGTAAACAATCGCATTCACGACTCCTTCCGTGAGTTTCTGCATCTCGATCAGAATTTCCTTCTTTTGTTTGCTTTTTGGAATTCCACCGACAAATAATCTGAAAAATTGATGAAACAATATTTTAAGAAACTTAATTTCTAAGCGAGGTATCCACATTTGTTCTAGAAATAAGAACTTTGCCAAGTTACGGTTATCACTGGAAGGGTAAAGACCGTGAAATCGAATCTATTCTCAGTCATTGTGGTCATTAAAAACGAATATTGGCTCTGCGTTTAAACTGTTAAAGTTAGTATAATTTTTGTTCCAATATGTGTCCTAAATTAAACTGGTTTTCTTTTTATCAACTGCTTTCTAGAGTGAAGTTTCCAAAGTTTTTTTAAAAATGAATATAATGAATATTCCAGATACAAATAAATTAAAATTTTAAATTTATAATACGCTTCAATATATTCGTTATATATTTTGTACAATACAAATTTTATTCAAAAGCTACGAATTATAGCCCTCGCTATAATATAGCATTGCTGTCTACATAATATCATAAATTAAAATAGCCGTTTACGTGGCATGCCTATGTAAACATTGCATAACACTGACGCTATAAAAAAGTTGCGTTGTACTAACGATAATTTTGTGATCGATTTTTAAATTCGCTGACTTAATTAATTGTGAAATGTGGTAAATTTTGGCCAGATAATGTTGAAGGAATAATGTATGTTAAGATCTGCACGAAATAAAAAAGAGTAAATTTGTTATAACTAGTGCAATAGGAGAGTACCCTAGTTTCTTCTTTAGCTGTGCTTAATTGTTTTGTTACAAGCCTCGTACCAAACGCTATGCACTCACGACGTAATGGTAAATCTCTATATATATATCTATTAATGCGACAGTGGCCGCTTACAACTCTTAAACTCTTTCCACTTTTAGTAAAGGACTTGGAAATCTTGCTTTGAGCAAACTTATATAACAATAGATGTCATTTGCTAAAGCTCTTCACAAGTTAGTCACTGGGAATGTATACCTGTTTAAACTTTGCTTCTATTTCCAGGAAATTGTAAAAAATAGTAGCGTTTATGGCAAATTTTTATATTTTTGGCAAGTGAGACAATAATACCTGCAATTATCCACACTTTTGCAGACACCGAGAAGCCTTCCTTTTCTAATTTCTAAATTATTCAATTCCTTCAGAGCTCGTTTGGCTTCGTTCTGTGCGCAGTATTTCACAAAAGCGAATCCTCTGTTGTTCCCGTTGAAATCCATCATCAGTCGAAGTTCGTATATTCTGCAACAGACATATTTAATCATTTAGTTCTATATTTACATATGCTTCAAGCCGTATGCACATGAGAGTTGTAATTAGTGAAATTCAACCGAAATATAAAAATTCATATCATTTATGAAGTTTCTCACATCTTGAGCTCAAATTGAGCCCTTAAACTCATTGAATGTATTTATTACATATCACCAATGTGTAATGTCGTATTTACTCCAAGCGGTAAAAGTATAATACAAAATGTCGTGTTGAAAGAGCGATTGGATTTCCAAAGAGAATGAACATTGGCCAAATACTCAACATTTTTTACAACATATCAAATAAGGGAATACTGAGGTATTGATTCAAAACCCTTCTCTTCGTCTACGTCTTTCTTTGGATTTTTATGCAGCTTTTGCCACAAGGATGCTTGAACAAGATAGTATTATAAAAATAAAAAAGAACAGCAGTTTTATGCTATACTTAACCAACATATCAAAACAGAAGGAATTTATGGGATTCATGTTAAAGATTTAGCCGTCGAAATAACAGATATCGCAGCGATTATATTTGACTCAAACCCCAGGTTTACAATCAATTTTAAAAGTGTTTAGTAGCGTTCAATAAACAATTACTTTTCAACCGTTTATTTTTTGCGACTATTATCGTAATTCGAAGTAAAATAAAGTATACTGCCAGCGATTTTTAGAAGTTTAATTGCCAGTTTGCAGTTTTATGCCAAGTCTATTTTTTAGTGAAGTTCGAGACGTGCTTGAAATGCTATTATTTAAGTTGTTGAGGCATGGCACATGCCTGAATCAGCAAGAAGGTGAATGACCTTGCTATTTTCGAGCTAACTAGGCATTATTGCGCGACAGTTATAAATCAAAGTTGACCACGCCCTCCATTATTTGATTGGTTTATGATATGATGGCAACCAATGAAATTACACAACAAACTTTACGGCATTGTTTGCTAATAGGTGATAAAATTATCGTTCCCGCCATAAATTATTTGAAAGTTTGCTGTCGTTATATGCAGATTACACAATACTTAAATGCTATTTTAACAATAAAATACTAATAGTAATTAATGGTCCCACATAAATAGCGAGTCTAACTGTCTTTCGTCAAGTTTACCTATCTTCAATCAACAAGCCACAAAACGGTTTTAATTTGGACACCAGTGATTTTTCCTTTTCTTGGAGTACGTCGAGCACGTGATCACAATCAGTTATAAGCGACTACTAAAATGTCATAAAATGCTGAATTTCTTTAAAGTCATGAGAGTGAGTACTAGTGAGTACACAATTGAACCAAAAATTGGCTTTTTATGAGCTCTAATACGACCACGCGTTGTGTTGTATCTGTTGAAACTAGACCTTGTGAGCCGATGCTGAAGTCAAAGTCTGGAGCCACGGAGCTGTGACGTATTAGTGGAGCTTGAGCCAAGCTTACCATGTTAGAAGAAACGTCATTCCATCAGAGAGTATGGAAGAGTATGCTAAAGCAGGGTTTTCAACCTTTAGGTCGCGATCCGAAATTGTGTATCCGGAAAAAATTTTCGCCTGTTTTTTCGAAAAAAAAACCCAAACTTACTGCTTTTATTTTCTAGTTGATTCAATTGTTTGCTTTATATTTTAAGTGTGGCTAAATAGTTATCGTATGTATGGGAAGTATCACAGCGTAAAAACATCAGTTAATTTGCGACCACTTAAGGCATAATTATTGGGTAATAATTTGGGTCGCTTGAAAAAAAGATTGAGAACCACTGTGCTGAAGTGTCTACGTCCATAATACGGTACTCCCGTAGTATGCGGGCCAGGTTATGGTTAGGCCATAATTTTATCCCGATTTTCCTTATTTTAGTTATATTACAAGTTTGGGGACTGTTTGTGTAAGCAAATATACCTGCCATAGGCTTCCGTCCCATTACACAGCCTGACAGGCGAACAAAATTAGTTACTTCCATATCGGTGTACACACTTCTGAAGCGCCAATTAAACATTGTTCGAAGCGAGTATATAATACTTTAATAAAACTTAGAAAGACGAGAAATAGAATACTAAAATTATTAAACTACTTTAACACGACGGAAGTTCCACGAACTTATTAATAAGTAACCAATTAGAGTCCGATCATCAGTTTAAATATATATTGGAAACGAAAATTCTAGTTTGAATGTCCAAGCATGGCACAAAGTAATTTTACTGCTTCATATATATAATAAATTTGGCCGAACTAAAATTTCTTGACAGGTTAATTTATCGCTAACTAATTCTCGTTGTCCGAGAATAAACAAAAACACATTATTATATCATAAATAAATATTTTAAGCATTATGATATCACAAAACTTTCAAGTAGTTTTTAAAAAATCTACTGATTAACTGTGAATTTATAGTAATTTGATATTGTAAATGTACGTGAGCGCTGTTACAGTAGAATTAACGTAATTTTGAATATTTTTAACAGCATCGTTACTTGCCGATACCGACCATAAACATGTTTGCATTCCCACCACTTGTTACTAGACCCGATATCACTGGCCGATTGTTAATCTTGAATAATACGTGCGTAAAACGCGAATTTATCTACGGCCAGAGTATATAGAGACCTAATTGGTGATATATTGTTCGAGGTAGCTGTCACGAGATGATCTTTGCAGTTGACGACGAATTGGATATAAAATATTGTTATACATCGATAATAATGGGGCGTTGTCTAATGTCGGGAATTCCAATACGTAAGAATTTTATTGCAGTATGCTGCGGGGTTGTATAGCAAATGGCGTATCATTCGTTCTTGAGTTTTGTCTCACGGGCCAGTCAATATTTGGGATATTTTGTAGAAAGCACTAACGCAAAATTGTGAGATGCGAAAAAAAAAAACGCCACGTTTCAAAATAACACATTAGTACTTATCCAGTTTGGGTTCGGTTTAGGAATAATTTTAGAATTTGAATTTCCAGCGCATTCTGCATTACTAGCCCTCACCCTAATTTAGTTTTGGGGCAATTTTCGCCTTGGGGCCGTTTTTTTGTTGTTTTTTAACAAAATTTCGTTCTCTTGCAAACATATATATGTTAGGACCAATAGTAATCCATTATAATACGAAATCCTACCTAGCTGGTATTTACCAATTTAAAAAGACTATCCTGATATTATGAAATGTTGTGATTGATCATAAAGATGAAAAATACAAAATCGAGGAAGTTAACATTAAAAATATCTTACCAAAATCTTACAATGCGCGCAAAAGTGTCTTTCATAGAACTATAACAAATGCTATTTTTTTAGAGCGGTGGCAGGGCTGTTTTTTGAGAGATGGCGGGGTATGTCCCAAATGGCGTATTGCTCGTTTCATTATTCTTGAATCGATGAACCAATGAAAAGGGCAGTGATTTGAAAAACAACTCAATCCCAGAATGTTCGAAGTTGATACTCCGACTTTGAGTCTTGGCTCCGAGTAAACAAAATTTCAACTCCGGGCTGAAAAATTCGATTTCGATTACAGCTCTTGGCGACAAAAAGTTTGGTGTTATTGGTGGATTCAATTATGTTTCAATTTAATGTTCAGTTTGAACTCTGACTTCCAACGGACTCCGACTTCCGGTTCCGATTCCGGGTATTTAAAATTTTGACTCCACTCATATGAATTTAAAATAGAATTCCGGGTTAGATTCCGATAACACTCCACATGTCAATGCAAACACTATTCCCGGTTGTAATGTCTGGGGGACAAACAAAGTCAAGTCGTTTGAAATTATCAGTAGAGGTCACGAGAGACTAACTCCCAATCCTTCAATACCTTCGCGCCAGTGGATCCGTATGCGTATAATGAAAGGATACTGTAGCAGGAATAACATGGCCATACTATACAATTCAAGAGTCCTGCTGCACACTAACACAAATGCGGTTCTGAACCACGTAATTGTTACTTATTGATTTTAATCGGTAAGTATGTTGTTAGGTATTTGTCTGTCTGTTTGTCTGTTAGATGCACGCGATATCTCACGAAAGCGAGGTTGAATCTGCTCCAAATTTGCATGTGCATTCATCATATCTCGGATCAGAAGCCTATTGATTTTCGTTTAATTATGTCGAATAATTATAGAGTTATCAATTAAATAGTGATGGAATACGCGGTGTCACTATGGAGTAAGAGCGGATGAATCGAAACCGCAGTTTCTGTTTTGGTGGATCCCCTAACTTTCGATCGATAAGTCTTCGGTCTCCGACCGATATTCTCGTTTTTTTCTTGTCACGGTTGTAAACTGCTCGTCTGAGGATCCCTGATTTTGGTCAGACGAAACGTTACAGAAACACTTTTACGTTAATGTGCAGCATGACTCTTGAATTGCATAAGATCTTTTAACTTTTGAATTTACTGCCATAATTCACGATCCTAGTCAATCACCCCTTGATGAATATAACACCTCTTTAAACATTGGAATCAAATTGAGTGAACTAATGTAAGTTTAATTATATACATCGATGGAAATGTTGGGAATTCAATGCGAGACTCCATGGGCGTTTTATATATGGTCTTGTTTCGGTCATCAGATAATATATTAAGTTAAAGCATTGCTTCTCAAAGTTGATAGACCGGGGGCTAAAATTAGAAGCGATAGAAAATATTCGGGCCGAAAGAGGGAGAGCCCGCAAGGGTACTAAGATACCAGTATAGTTAAATTGTGACGAATATACACGTGCTTAAACTGTGATAATACACAACAGTTGCCGTTATCTAGAACGCAAAAAAGTTAAAACATAAAGTTTTTCCTAAGTTCGGCGGGCCATATTAAATCGTTGAGGCCCGTTGGCAGCAGTTTGGGAACAACTAAGTTTGAGTGACAATAAACGTTACGCGAATTATGGTGCGAGCGGCCTTGACCCACCCTCTCTGTATAGATGTACGCTAATCGTTAGATGTTTTCCATGAGTTTTATACCATGAACATGTTGGCTTAAGGCCATAAATATTTGATGTTTTATCCAAAGTCCAAGTAATCTATTTACAACGATCCCATAAATCGATAAATCTTTGGGACCCACAGTTAGTGTGTTTACCCATTACAATCCAAACGGTGAAATTTGCAATGTAGGCAATATTTTAATTTATGGTCAAATCTTTGCTTGTCGTGACTCGCACGAACTATGTTTATTTTTTACTTTGTTTTCTTCTAATTATTGACACGAACTCTGGACTTCTGGACTCATTCAAAGTTACGCAAAATTCATCATACAGTACAAGATAACTCCTACGAACGCTCCATTTCACATAGTACAAAAATGGAAAATCCCAAAGTATGCGCACCAAGATGTCGCACAACCTAAACCCTAACCTGATATACAACCTGAAATAAGATTGTGCTCCATCTTGGTGCGCATACTTCGTTTTATTATATCAAATGGGAATAAAGAATTTTTCTCGAAGTCTAGTCACGTGTAACACTCCGAATAAAGTTCTGAATACACATCCCTGTTGCTCGTAATACTATCTAAGAGCTAAGACTTGTTTTGGGTAGACAGTCTAATACAGGGGTTCTCAACCTGGGGTTCGCGAACCCCCAGGGGTTCACCAGGAGATTTCCAGGGGTACTTGGACGGCAGTTGAGTTTTTGCATGTTGCTATTTTTTAATATTTTTTATTACTATCAAAGGAAAATGCGTGTCGATTGGAACTAGATGCCAATCGAAACGTAGATTTTCCCTGATGTTGCGTTGTTGTGATTGTGACGCAACAATGTGAAATTCACGGCTTTGCAGGCAAACTATGAAATCTTAAAAAACGGCATGCTGCGAGCATTGGAAAAAGTGATTATGCTTATTAAAATTCGGGAAAGATTTTAAGAATCCATAAGTTAGGCGGAAAACAAGGGCAATAATATCAACACGAAGATTTAATTTAGTTAAATCTGGTCAATAAATTGTTGTTTCAGCGAATCGTTAGTCAATCTATCACAACTTTGTTAGGTGTCTGATTACTGGGGGTTCGCGTTGATTGTTTCGTGACTCGGGGGGTACTTGACAGAAAAAAGGTTGAGAACCCCTGGTCAAATAGAATTATATTTATGTAAGCAAAGCAAGTCTGAATTTTAATCTTTACTACAAGAGGCAAGTCAGAATGAAATTGCTGATTTGTTGGTATCCACACTGAAGTAATATTCAATTCAAATCTATTTTATTATTATGAAGCGTTTACTTCCGTCACTCAAGCACATAATTTTTATGAGGGGCACCTCAGTCTTTGTAAAAGAAGCCACTGTTACGTTTTCGCCACGGATCATCAATAGAATTACAAACAAAACTGACCTTCCGCATCTCTCCAGCACAGGCACAAGTTCATCTTCATAAAGATCTCTTGGTAGTTTGCCGACGAATATCTCACAACCTTTACCGGGTATCGGGTCCATCCATCCTGGCGGTGGTCCGCCATATTTTCGTTGCCCGTTTTCCTGTCGAAAATGTATGGTTTTAGTATAAGAAATCGCTTTAGTAATCGCTATACTTGTAATGGATGTTTGGTTGAAAACCAAGTTTGACAGGTAAGTTTATTTCATGAAGTGTGAAAGAAGTGTGCTGATCTTACCACAATAGAGATAAATATGGATAACATAATTTATTTTCACAAAATAGCAAGTTGTAATAACATTTGTAAGCTTTCGTTTGATCATAGTCTAACTTCTTCAGACAAAAAAAAAGATATAGCGCAATCAGACAGAGAATAATAACTAACCATGATAATTAAAAAATGAAACTTTTTCCGTACCCTATTTGACAACATGTTTAACGTACATCTTATTTAAAATCTATTGTAGATATTGTAGGTATTGTCGGGGCAGAATTCAAGTCATTCCATAAATAGTTTAGTAGTTTTTTGCAATTGAATGATTGGTAGTGCAGAAACTTGTTTGGAGTGGCAGGCATGGAAATCCCGAATAATGAAATATCCAGAAAGCGATCGAGTATTTATTGTTAAAGATCGGACCTCCTGAAGTATGCGCACCAAGATGGCGCACAACCTGAACTCAGATTGTGTACCAGGTAAGGGTTCAGGTTATGCGACATCTTGTTGCGCATACTTCAGGAGTACCTAAAAATCAATAAAACAATACATTAAAAAGGCAAATACAATCCTCATCGGCGGGTGTATCGGCAACACTTTCCCTCAAGCCTTCCAAACATATTCCCACAATTCATATTAGGGTCAAAACGGTGCATGCTCTACGTGTGTTGTCAATTACAAATTGTTAAATTGCTAAATCATACACTAAAGTGGTACAGAATGAAATTAGAAATCGTCGACTTTCGATCAGACAGACATCGCAGCCTGGTCTGCACCACTGAGCAAATTTAGAAAGGACTTTTGAACTACCAAAGATGAGATCAGTTTGGGAAGCATCTACTATAGTTTCTATATTATTTTCGTATATACTGTCGTGGCGCTCCAGAAGTATGTGTACCAATATGGAGGTAACTAATTTTATTCGCCCACTTTACATCAAGTTGTGTACAGGGACTGATTACTTTGGGCGAGGGGTGTATCCACTTGGCTAACATAGACAGTCCGCGAACTCGTAAGTCGTAATAGAACTAAATTAGGAAAATCGGCATAAAATTTGGCCTAACCCTAACCTGGTACACATACTACGGGAGTCCTTTTGTCGTAGAAAACAAGCCACTAAACATAAGCGCTAAATTGCCAATGTTATGAGCGAAGTTGAAAGTATATGTCGCAAAAACTTGTTAACATCGGATAAGTTGAGCACAGTATGATCTTTGGCTACTGCCTAATAGGTGGGCATATAGCAGAAAACTGCTATTCGTTCAATTTATGGTTTGAACATTACGTTGACGCAAGTCTGGCAATGTAAAATATGTTTCTAGGAAAATTCGCCGCAGAAAATTTCGCCATAGGAAACTCGCCGCAGGACAGTTCCCCGTAAAGGAAAAATACTCTCATGAAAAATAGTCTTATTTAAAAAAGCTTCGTTATTTAAGAGCATACCCTAACCCTATACACCTAACTGTTTTTATCACAAATACTTGTTTTACAGCAAAATGCTCTTGCGATTTTTCCTATGTGGCAAAATTTCCTGCAGCGAGATTTCCTTCAGCGAAATTTCCTACGGCGAATTTTCCGAACAAGGTAAATATGTCGTCGCTTTGATTCTATATCACCCTTACCTGTGTTAGTGGATATCCTGTTCTTGCGCACAGTTCTCGCAGCACTGTTTCCTTCGCTGGATTACAACGAAATGGGTCAACAGGTCCTTCCTCTACTTGACCTTCTGTTGGATTTTGATTGGTCGATGTCATGATGTGATTGACGTGTGGGCGTGGTTAGTAATGTTTTGATCACGATGAATTATTCCCGTGACCTAAAACAAGAAGGATTCGGTTGAATAACCACGCAGTCAAGTAAGGAGAAAATTTAGTTTTGGTTAAATCGTCGATTTTTGCGGCGTGTTTTTACGTTGTTCGACCCAAACAATGCCACATACAATCAGTCACGGACACTAACAATAGGTAAAAAGCTATTGTTTTTCAAATGCCTTTGGAGTAGGCAGAAGAACTTTACGTTTAACTTTTGCAAAAAAATTCTAAAAAGCCCAATTGTTTGAAATTGCATGCATTTTGTGATTATTTTACATGCTCTTTGAGTTATATAGCTCTGAATAAAGCTATAGGCAAGGTATAGCTGATGAATTGAAGGCTGCAATAGTCTTGTAATGACTAATATTTTTATCATGTTGTACGGTCTAACTAACCCGTTCATTATACACTGGGTAAGTCGGGTGGGCCTGAGATGTCAACACTAGATTTTTGATATGTGACGTCAACTACTATGAAGGCAAATATGTGAGCTAAACACGCACATTGCAGCTACGTATTGGGATTGTGTTCCAGACGTTTTGCCCTTCACTAAATTGGGAATGCCTTGTTAAAGATGAACGGGCCTCATAAACAAAATACTCTAAATAGTCAGTGCGAGTATTCATACATTACTGGAGGACAGATATCCGAAAAAGGTCCCTTATTTGCGCGCCATATTGTTCAATGAGTACAACTTGCACTTAAAAACTGCAATTTCTGTCGAGTTGCAAACTGCAAGCACGTGTTTATCGTCCAAATAGGCGGGAAACCGCATTGTGGTTTTAAAACTTTGAAAACAAAAGGGGCGAACGTTCCGTGATATCGCGGAGCTATGCTACTTGCTAATAATTAACTAGAAGACCACTATTGTTAACTCAGGGAATATTATTACGACATATCACATGTATGAAATCGCGAGTTAAGAAATCCTACATACAGTTTGCCCCAGTAACAAAATCCAGTTACTCTGGAAAATACAGAGTGTCCATAAAGTCCCTTTGCAATTTCAATAACCAGGTCCGTTGTTTTTTACAGTAATTGTTCACTATTTTCACTTGATTTAATACATCTGTGAAGGCCAAAACAGTATATAATTTATATATATATATATATATAAATTTTATATAAAATTATTTGAGATGTTTTGGACACCCTATAATTATAGACAAAACATAAATTTTGTGCAAAGCGTCCTTTGTTACTTCTGGGTAAAATCACACACAAACACAAGTTCAAGTTATGTTGAAATTCATTTTCATTCCCGAAGAGATTTATTAAGAAAATTTTCAGTTTTCATTATTTGGGTCACACCGTAAAATGAATCACTAACTTGAAAAACATTTAACCAAAATGAAGTCACTTGGATTTAAAAATACGTAAATTTTATGCGTTTATTAACAAAAATCACCAAATACAATGACCACTTGGACAAAGTCGGTTGCTGTATCTAAAATGGTGATTATTGAGTCCCTCTTAGCAACAATAATTATATCAAGGCATACACGAAAATTAAAACCCTGTTTCCAGTATTATTTAGGGTATGTTTTTTGTTTGTTTTTGTTTAGTGACAAACTAAAAGATATGAAATAATCTTGTTCAAACTACAAACATGCCACCATAGCACCATTGTCGTTTAAACTCTAAACTATCATATGCACAAAATTGGCTGCCACAACCATGGGCTTTGCGACATTTGCTTAAAAAAACATCAAACGGTTTATGCAAATGATAAATGAGTTATTGTTAAAAAATAAAACAATTCGCAGTCAATTCACCTCAAATTAATGTTGTTATCGCGGATAGTTTGTGGCCCCAGAAAACAACTTTGTAGCCCAATAGGTAACCGAGGGCCCAATTTGAGAAACCTTGGTATAGTACGTACATGAATAAGATGATTGAAAATTGTCATTATATTTGCTGTATACTAAAACAGAATCAAAACGGATGGTATGATTGTTTTTAAATGAACCATGTCCTCAATTTATTGGAATCGAAAAACAGGATAATCTAGAAACGCGTCCTGAAACCCAAATTTCGCGAAAAGACCAAGTATGGACCGTTCCTGTAAGACGTGCGTAATGGCTGTTTGTATCGGGTATTTATCTACTAACGAGATACAAGTGCGACGTAGTAGCTACGCGATATTTATTTAAGATAACATGTAGGGCAAGTATCATTTCCTAATACCCGCGTCAACCGGTATCTACCAGTACAAACAGCGAAGGTTATAAATACCTATTAACAGTTCAGCGTTTATTTTGTATCAATATATTTTCAATCGACAGGGTGATTTGAACAACGTCTTGAGAACGGGATTGAGAGTCAAATTACTTTACTAAAATTATTTGCAAGATGCAGTCAACATTATTTTCCTCGTTATTATTTTTATTTCAATTCTTTCCCATGTTTCCCCCATATGACTATTAAATTAAAAGAACAACTACCGGTACTTAATTATTTTCCTTTCTTCGCATTAGAAAGACGAGATGATAAATATTAATTCATACATATCACAAAACAGAACCCACCTCCAATACGATAGATAACTGCTGACGTTAATATAATTGACTCCAGATAAACACGTGTTCAACATGTATTGGCTTTCAGACTGGGCAAAATCATTTCATCTGTAACTGCATGTTTTATTACTTTTAGTTATAACGATTTGGGTATCTGGTAATCCATATATATGCGTGCAATATAAACTATCGATACGCAAAACGAGCAAATGTTCCGTTAAAGATTGAATAATAAATGAAAACAGATTTTTATGCGTATGCGGAAGAAATGAGAAATTTAAAAATAGGCCAAAGCAGGAAACGCATGCCTACGTAATTCTAACATACTCGCACATGGAATACGATGTCATCATAGTTAAGTTTAACGCCTCAAACACTAGTCGGCCAATTGGCCTTGCCTGTATAATTTATCACACCATGGGAGAAGTGTTGGTCATAGAACTTGAAATCAAAATTTTAATCTGCATTGTCATCATCGCTTTAAACACGAAGACATCGCTCCCAGTATCGTTAGGTATATGCTCGTGTTGTTATTATATTCTAGAATACATAAGTTAGGCTCATTTATGAAAACTATTTAAGGTGTACGTGACTTGGCACATGTTAATAAAAGTGGAATAAAGCTTAATCATTTAGTCAAATAAAATGAAAGCAATTTTGAACTTTTCCCGCCACATTACACGACATTTAACAATGAACCTTTTGTGACACACCTGCCCTTATGTTTACTCTAAACGGTTCAAATACATGAGATAATAAGTTGCCAGATTTTACAAAAAAAGAAGGTTAAGTTTATAGAAACGTTATTTGAGAAATGCCCTCCGATTTATACTAAAACAAATATATTGAAAATATAGTATTCTTCATTAAAATTTTATGCAGTATTCGATTCTACAACAGTTTTGGTAATGGGTAATACTCTCGTTACAATATTGCAAACATGGACACCTTTTATCGGTGGTAATGGCGCTCCAGAAGTATGTGTACCAATATGAGGTAACTAATTTTGTTCGCCTACTTTACATCAAGTTGTATAAAGGAACTGAAACCCATGGGCAGGAGTATATTCACTTGGCTAATAGAGACAGCCCCCGAACTCGTTATAAAACTAAAATATGGAAAATCGGAATAAAATTATGGCCTAACCCTAACCTGGTACACATACTACGGTAGTACCGTTTAGTATTGTTGGAATATAAGGGTAAGGCTGAGAAAGGAAACGTCGTTAACACGAAATTTTTCACCCGTTCGGCTCCGTACAATACCCTGTATCATGCACAAGGTCACTGTAGCGAATTTGAGGTGATTTGGAGCCTACGTTTTTTGCGTTTTACTGCTTGACTTACAGTATACTTATTCGCTTTAAACCAGGGGTGGGCAAGGTTTTTGGACCGGGGTGTAAAAATTATGCTCATCTGGACTGGCAGCCATGTAAGTGTGACGTAAAAAATTACATTTTATGATCAATATTTACAGTGTTACAAAGGCAAAAGTAAAAAACAATTCGTGCCAGAACTAAATTTAATCGCAATTTCAACAAATTCTTTGAGATTGGTATAACTAAAACATGAAAATTTGGATTTAGTTTGGTTGTGGCAGCATCAGGCGGACCAGACTGAATTACACCACGGGCCGTAGTTTGCTCATGTCAGCTCTATACTCAAAGGCCTGGCGAAATGTACATTCAAGGCGTGATTATAGACAAACACTTTAACCCAATGTCCAATTCATAAGTTTAGGAATTATTTTCTTTCTTTCAAGACATTTGTTGGTTTATTCATACTTCATAAATGCACTAATAAAACAGCACCAAAACTTGTTTTGAACGAGCGATATCAAATACCTCGAAACCAAAGAGTTTCAAGAGTTTCAAGCTAAAAAAATATCATTATTTATATTTACCTCAAAATTCCAGTTAATCTACGGCATGGATTTAGGATTATAATTTCACTGCGAAAGCTTGCTTAAAATAAGGTCACACGCACTCACTTAAAAATAAAAATCCCACTTATGAGAGAAATGACATGCAACTACTATATTGTCAAAAGCTATTGAAACATGGAAACATCAGCAAAAGACCCCAATTTGAGCGTTATATGTTGAACGCTCAAATTGAAAATTGTTAAATAGCCCTTCATTTTATCAAATCAAGGTTACACGAACTCACTCAGGAGTATTAAAACTAACCTGAGAGCAAAATAACGTGTGGCTACTGAAATGCCAAGAATCCATTAAAACCAATTTATCATCCACAAAAGAGTT